GCCGTCGCCTCCGGGAAGGAGAAGTGTGCACTGCGGTGAGCCTCTCTGCTGCATCTGTCGCTTCCACAAACGTCACTCTGAGCAGCTCTTTTAGTTTAGTGTTTCTGGTTTGCTTTTTTTTTTTTTTAATAAAAGCAAATCCAAGCAGAGGAGCCTGATCTCCAATAACCAAGCCCAGTTAAGATGTGGCTCATAGCGTGCTGGGGAGTGCGTCTCCCATCCAGTTTCAGCTGGAGAGAGGCAATTGTCTTTTCATCCATTAATGAGAGGCTTCAGAGGAGTAATTTTATTTCAGGCTCAAAGAGGAGTCGGTGGAGGGAGGAGCAGGTCACTAGTGAACGGATTACGTTTGATCGCTTCTCGCAGACCTGGCTTTAAAAAGTTTGAGTTTTTCTTCCCGTCTCCCCAGATCTGCCGTCTGTCCTCAGCATCTGTTCCGGAGTAATGTCTTTTGATGTGTGTGGGGAAATATAAAAAATGGAACCAGAGCCTGTCATATTTACTTATATTACCAGGTCCCAGGGAAAGCACTTGCTCCTTTCAGTATGCCTACGACGTAGGAAGGGTTTAAAAGCTTCAGCCTGGAATGCAGAGGGGCCATCAAACCACGCTGATGAATAAATGATTAAAACCAGAGTCGTGCGGAGCACAAACGGTTTGCGCTTATAACAAACATGAGACGAAGCCACCGAGGGCCCAGCTTCTCTTTGAAGAGAAGAACGTTTCTCTCTCTGCGTATTGCTCAGGAACCATCCCCAGCAGAGACCAGAGCTCTCCTCGACTCTCTCCCAGCTCGGGTCGTGCCTGTTTCTTGGGGATAAACCCACATGGGACGTGGGTCCTTGCTCCTGCTGGCCCTTTGGTGCTGCTGTAGACTTCCAGGAGCTTTCTGTCCTCGCCAAACGAGGAGCCGGTTTGGCTGCAGCCGTGTCGCTGCCCGTCGCTCTCGCAAATGCTCTGAAAACTGCCGTCGGCCCTTCTCCTCGCTGGCAGTGCCGCCCGCGCAGCGGCGATCGATGCGAAAACGCAAACCCGTCTCCCCGATCAGGTGGGAAGTAAAGGGGATGATTTAACCTTGCGTTAGGTGTGTTGTTACTTTGGAAAGAGGTTTATAAGAGAAATTCAATAACAACTGAAAGCGATACAATAATTTCATAGAGGAGAGGAGCTGTTGTGTCTGTCAATAGAGGCCACAGCGCGGGCTCTCTGTTACCCGTATGCGTTCTGATAGGAAAATCCATCCTGATATTCGCTTCCTTTTCGGCTTTTAGGCGTTTTTGCCTGTGTCTCTCCTGACTGGTTTTGGGAGTCCTGTATCAGACAGTCTTGCAAGATTTATCACTTCTCTTTTTTTCTTTGGTTTTTTCCTTCATTAGAAGGTGCCCAGGTGTTGGCACATGTGGCGTTTTCTCTCTCGTTTATGCGTTGCACATCTCCCTCTGAAGGTGAGGCCTTTGTAAAGGGAAACCAAAAGTTACTGCCTCTTCTGCTCTATGCCTGTGTGTCTTGCTTCAGGTGTCTGGGGGCTGGTTGGGAATGTCGCTGTATGGCAGGACCGTGTCTTGGAGCAGCTCGCACGTTCCTCTGCGTTCGTTCGCCATCGTGCCATCTGTGTGCTGGAAGAAATCTGTGGGAAAAACCTTACAGCTGTGTCTGTTGGTTTGTACCCACCGGTGTAATTTTCTCCATATAATTATTATTTTTTTTAATTTCCTGGTGGCACAATCCCACTGGCTGGCCTGTGGAATTGCCTGGATACGCTTTTGTGCGGTGGGAGGG